CGACTTCTTAAAAGTTTTTCAGGATTGTTTTTTGAAGCAGTTTATGACAGAACCTACAAGGGGAAATAACCTGCTTGACTTAGTTATGGCAAACAATGAACCCCTTGTTAATAATTTAGAAATTTCAGAGGAAACTGGGTGCTAGCGACTACAATCAATTACATTTAGCATTGAATGGAAGTACATAGTAGCGATAACTCAGTAACAGTCCCAGATTTTCGCTTAGTAGATTACGATGGGCTTAGAGAACACTTATCATCTGTCGACTGGGGTAACGAAGAGAGCTATCATATGACAGTTTTCTGAACACTATACATGCTGTCCAAAGGAGCGTTTACCCCATATAAAGAAATTAGATAAAATTTGAAATGACCCAAAATGGATGAATAATAGGCTCAAATATCTACTTGGGCATAGGAAAGGAATTTATAGGCGTATCAAAAGAGGTGAGGGTCATCTTATGAATCAGTATTTTTGACATTAAGGGGACATTAAAAAGGGGAAAAGAAAAAAGCTAAAAGGGACTATGAAATTAAAGTTGCTAGGATTCTAAAACAAACCCCAAAAAAGTTTTTTCCAGGTCTATAGAAACAAAAGTTAGAGTAAGATAGGTCCCCTTAAAAATAACTATGGGCACCTTACTGACAAAGAGAATGAAATGTGCTTGATTTTAAATAATTATTTTCTCTCAGTTTTTACACAGGAAGACACTAACATATTCCAGTAATTAATTTTTTACAGTGGGCTAGAAGAGAAAAAATTATGTAACATCACAGGCATTTAGTGAGATGGTTTGTGAATCAGATAGACAGAACTGAAGCAAAATAAGTCGCTGGGTCCTGATGAGGTTTTTTCAAGGGTTCTTAAGGAATGCAAAATGGAACTCTGTGAACCATTAACTAATATTTTTAATTTATCTCTTCAAACAGGTTTTAGTGTCTGATATGGGGAAAGATGGCTAATGTAATTCCTATTTTTAAAACAGGGGACAAGTCTTTACCGTCAAATTACCGCCCATAAGCCTGACCTCAATTGGGGGGCAAATTACTAGAGTCAATTATAGCTTAAATTATAAGAAGCCATCTCGATAAGCATAGCTTATTAATGATACTCAGCAGGGATTCCAAGAGGGCCGGTCTTGTCTAAACTAATTTATTAACTTTCTTCAGTAAAGCTTTTGAGGCTGTTGACCACTATAAAGAATTTGATATTATTTACTTAGATTTTAGTAAGGCATTTGATAGAGTTCCGCACCATAGACTTTTAAAAGAAAGGGGCAGCTCATGGCATTGGGGGA